GAAGGAAGGTCTATCAAACCATCTTTTCTTACATTAAGTCATTCAAAATTCTGATAAAACCTTTTTGTTAACCGAGCATAGAAGACCATATGTAGAAGACTATATGTAGGGGTCATTCCTTAGAAACAGTAAACTCTTTATCAACACCTGTAATAAATATAGCCAAAAATGCTAGACTCGTCATTAGTGCTCCTGCTACCTTTTCGAATTCAGAATCCTCATTTTTAACCATTAAATATGATTTTCCATAGCCTTTTAGCATATTATCCATCTCCTGTTTCGTTTGAGAAGACGTTCAAAGCACATTTTTCAAAATCTTTGTAAAAACTGCCATAGTGTTCATCAAAAGGGTGAAATAATAATTAGAAATATGTATGTAATAATTAGATAATGTGTATGTAACCCCGTTAAGAATTATTACTATAAAATGCCAATATTCACTAGGTTCACTTCGGTACCTGAGGAAAAAGATCATTAGGTATCACTAGGTATGATCTCTCTGATCTTGGTCTAGAACTAACGAAGATACATTGCCTATGATATTAATAAAAACCAAGATAGATATGAACTCAATAAGTCTTACAATTTATTTAACATATGCAGATTAATGTATAATCCATAATAATATTAAACTTATAACACTGGTCTGCAAAAAAAAAATTTTTCTCTCCTTGTTTTCATGCATGAATTCATCTTATTTTATGCTCTAAACACGGAGTCTGACATACAAATAAGTACCACACGTAGGTTTTTAATTTAATATTTATTTCATCAAAAAACAATGTTATTATATAAGGATATATATAAATTATTATAAGGAAATAAAAAAATGTGGCTGCTTGAGTTTTACAGTAAAAAATCCTAAATTATGTTAACAAAACTAATAAATATCGTCAGTTATTTCATTATGGAGTGATAGAATTCAAATTATTAAGTAGTTTTCTTCCTCGTCATAGATTCCATTGGAGTTTCTCGGTGAATTGACCAACAGAAATCAGCAAGCATTGCTGCTGACCATTTTCCAGTGTAGCGTTTTTCAATTTGCATTATATCCTGATGAAACCTTTCACCAAGCTCATTTGATACAGCTCCAAGATTTTCAGTAAAGAAATCTAAATGCGAGTCTAAACAATAGATCTTGAGTGACATATTGCATCCTAAAGCTTTATAAGCAGAAAGTAGCTCCCGAATGATTTGTTGATAGTTGTCACTTTTTGCGTTCCCAAGAAAATTATGACACACCTCCACAAACGCTACCCAAGCTATTTTTCTGCTTTGCTCAACTTCAATTTCGCGTCACTGATTCGAGGAAATTTTGTTTTTAAGTATTGAAACCCTGCACCATCTTTATTCATAGCTTTCACAAAGTTGTTTATGAGTCCCAACTTTATGTGAAGGGGTGGCAGAAAAATTTTCTCGCATGGCACCAACGGTTTATGAGAAACATTTTTAAGTCCAGGAGTCAAACTTTTTCTTGATGGCCAGGTTTTTTGCTTTGTAATGTTTGTCTCTTGCGCGGCTATCCCACTCACAGAAAAAACAGCAAAATTTTGTGCATCCTCCTTGTAGTCCAGTCAGTATAGCGACAACTTTTAGGTCAGCACAAATATTCCATAGGTATTGAGAATATTTAATTTTCTCAAGGTTTGCATAATTTTCTTTCATGCTTGTAGCATGTGCAATGGGGACAGATGAGTATTTATTACCATTATGAAGTAGAATTCACTAGAATCTTCTGGGAAACTTAGTTCTTGAAGAAGCCCTGCAACATCATTACAATATACCAAATCATCTTCTTTGGAGAAGTAACTTGTAACACTTTCTTGCCTCGTACGAAAATATGAAACTCTGGTACTTTTAGCAGTAACTGTGCCTTAGATTTTGAAAATCCCAAGTCTCTAACAAGATCATTTAAGTCGCCTCGTTCAAGTAAATGAGGTTCTGTAGATGGACATGAAGATCTAGATAAAGTGTATGAAGATGAAGATGTACTACCAGAAAGAAAACTCGATTGAGATTGTAGACCTGAAATATTTTTATTTTCAGCCTCCTCATTAATTGGTGGAACTGGAGGTGGGAGTGTCTTTATCACGAGGAATTGGTCTCTTTGCAGATAGGACGATCGGATAAACAATATTATCTCTATTTTGTTTCGAGAATTCTCGTGTAGATGTCATGCAGAAATAACAATCATTCTCATGATTTTGAGGCTCACTCCAAATCATTGGCATTGAAAACGGCATGGACTTGTGACTTTCTTCAAGCCAACCTCTCAACGTTTTTGAGCAGCTATTGCAGCATACTTTTGGCAACCAACTTTTATCTCGCTCATCGATAGAAAATCCAAACCTAAAATCACATAAAATTAATTTTAAAACAACTTTCAAACTTCTATTTCATATTTATTGACTCTACTTAAAAAAAAATACTCAAACTACACATCAAATACTTAAATCCGATGTAGAGGACATGAACTTTATGCAAAACTTACCAAAATATTTGATATAAAAGGTAAACAATTATGCGACAAGTTTTCACTGAACTGTTGTAGTGCCACAATGAATATTGCGCATGTGTGTATTTACTACATTAAAAATCACCTTCGGCACTTCCCTCCTTTCTCTTTCAACTCTCTGAAACTCATTTTGTATGTATATTTACTTTTGGTAACGTTGACGAATGAAAAAATTGAAAAAAAAAACAAAATTTTGAAATAAAAAAAAATATATCGAAAAATCTAGACGTGATAGAAAAAATCGGCCAACGGGGATAGGTTCAAAACGTTTGAATCATTATATTTATCATAAAATTTGTTAAAGGAGGATTTCATTGCCAACCAGTGTAATTGTAATTAAAATCAGATCTTCGCTCTTTATATTTACGTTTGTGTATACTGTCGAGTGCCATATTAGGCCGCTTTTCTTCTTCTATTCTTTATTCCTTTCCTTTGGTAATTTGAAATTATCCAGATTTGAAATAAAGAAAACTACGGGCTATATCCGACACAATACCAATAGCTATTACTTATTTTAAATACTCATTTAAACACAATGCGCCACACTATATATCTATTTATTCATTTAAAAGGGAAAAGAAATCGAGCTAAACATTTTCACAGGGAATCTAAAATACAGGGTGCGGCAGCATAACTTCCTTTTTTCAAAACTCAATAAAAACTATTGTGTGCATCGGAAAATCTTTATTTATTTTTTATAATGTAGGTACATGTCTAAAGTTTTTATTTACATTGTTTTGAAGATCAAATCTGTTAGGTGACGTCCCTCATTCTCCATACATTGCGTAAACCGATATCTGGCGTTTGTCATGACTCTTGTTAGCATAGCTGGTGTTATTTTGGCAATTTCTTCTTCGATGTTGGTCTTCAAATCTTGTAGGGTTCTTGGACGGTTCACATAAACCAGGGATTTCAAAAAACCCCATAGAAAAAAATCACAAGGGGACAGATCGGGAGAGCGTGCCGGCCATTCCAAATCGCCTCTAATTGAGATAAGGCGCTCTGGAAAGTGTTCCCTCAAAACAGCCATCGATGCTCTTGAAGTGTGTGCTGTTGCACCGTCTTGTTGGAACCAAGTGTCCCCCAAATCCAACTCTTCTAGCCGTGGGAAAAAAAAATTCTGTAGCATGTTTACATACCGGTCCGAATTCACTGTCACTGTAACCTCATTTTCCTCAAAAAACCAGGGACCAATAATTCCAGCTGAGGAAATTGCACACCACACTGTGACTTTGGGTGAATGCAAAGGCCTTTGATGCAATTGTCGAGGGTTGGTGTCAGCCCAGTAGCGCATGTTTTGTTTGTTAACCGACCCACATAAATGAAAATGGGCTTCATCGCTAAAAAAAAACAATAGCACCCTCGGGAACGACATCAAAAAGAAGCTCACACGCGTTCATCCGAGAATTGAAGTCACGTTCTGTAAGTTCCTGCACTATCGCCATCTTATAGGGATGAAAATGAAGATCATCACGAAGAATTCACAGAACGATCGGATAGTCCAAGGGCAGATGCGTGTTTGCGCGCAGAACGCCGTGGTGATCGCAACATTGAAGCTCTCACTGCTTCAATGTTCTCAGGTGATCTAACTGGCCGAGGGACTCCAGTTCTTCGTTTTGTCGCACTTGCAGTTTGTCTGAATGTAGTGACCCATGTAACAATTGATTTGCGGTCTGGGACGGGAGCCAACGGGGCTAAATTAAAGCGATTCCGAAATGCACGCTGTGTTGCAACAACCGAACAACCGCTTGAAAAGTAGGCCTCAACGGCAAAGGCACGCTCCTCACTATTCCAACGCATGATGGCGACTGAACCGTGTCGGGACAAAACTTTACAGTACCCCCTCTTGAACGAGACCACTAGCGCCCCACTATGACATCAACTAACTGAATGGCGCGCATTTAAAAAAAGGAAGTTATGCTGCCGCACCCTGTATATATAACCTTGCTCTCGTCATTTTGCCCGCCAGATAAATATTTTAAGTAGTCTTAAAACGCGCCTGTAAAACTGAACCTCATGAATCTATTATAAGAAAGTGCAGATCATTGTAAGTATTTCGCATTTGTAATGCATGAAATGGGCCCACAAGCTTCGAATGTTTATGGTCGCGAGCGGGATGAAAAAAAAAACATTGTTTATGCTTTTATTAGGTCTAGCGGCGGAGTGAATTACTTTGTTGCGTAAGTTGGGACGGGGGGCACTTTATTATTCTGTCAAAATTTCAGCCCCGGGGTCTGAATAATTCAGCGGTTTGCTGTAAGAGAACGAGCAATGGCAAAGAATATTGAATAAAAAACATAATGAATTTAATTTTTCTATAGACGCGTTTATGTGACTGACACTTTTCTATATTTTGGACCTTCTAGCCACCTTAAATTCACATTACAATATTTATGGTGTCTTGAGGCAACCTACTCTAAGGTTTAGAAAAACATTACATAAAATTTTGCTTCTTTAAGGTTTTTGATTAGCGTTTTCCTTATAGGGCGAAAGAAGGGAGCAGCATTTCACGCCAGGCCGATTTACTCCGATCAAACTTCCGGAGGGTCCCCCGTTGGAGGGGGTTGCTCACCTGCTGGATTTTCCGAGGCACCGTCTGAGGCTCTTGGAAAAATTGGGTGAAGGCGATTTTGGCATGGTGAGTAATTGCATTTCGATTAGATTTTTTGTGTGCAAATTTTGATTGTTTAATTAATTTATATTTTTTATTCATAAATCTACTACTACTATGTAAGAAATTACATAGAATACTGCGGAAGAATCCAAGGCCAATAATTCAAGTTTAGTATACAAAATATTATGATCAAGAGTGTCAAGTGCTTTGCTATAGTCAAGAAGAACTAGACAACTAGATTAATAATTTTATGAAAGCTGTTGTTGTGCTATGTTGAGATCCAAAAACCGTATTGCGTAGAAGGAATAATAGCATTCCATCGTTCGATCATAACTTACTGCGGGATGTTAGAAAGTGGGACAATTCACTGGGGTCTTACTGGTATAACACTAGCCAACTTCCAGTCACTGTGAAACTTGCAGGAGCACATAAGAGAGGACATTACTTATGTAAGTGACCTGATCTAATAGACAAAGGGTTATAAAAAGAAGATTTTGAAGATCAAGTCCATCAATTCCTTTAGCATTAAAGCATAGTTATGATATTATTTGTTCAATTTTGTCAGATCTAACCTATGAACACTGAGATTGCTCTATGCGTATTCGCGAATTCTGTATTTTTTGTTATTTTTTCTAATTCGTGTTGCTCGAGAATTGCTCCCAGCAATCTGTTGCAAATTCTTTACCAAAAATTAGCAGAGTTTTATTTAAAAAAAAAAGTCTCACCGTGACAATACTCTACGTATTGCCGTGACCAGGATTCGAACCTGGGTTACCACGGCCACAACGTGGGGTCCTAACCACTAGACGATCACGGCTACCGGAGACGTTGTCACTTTCGGCGAAATCGATAAACTAGATCGCTTCACTTTTCTAACACGCCCGAAGTGAATAAATCGATTCGCTTTACTCGGCAATTAAGCCCGAGGATCAAAAATAACCAGACCGTGAAGCAATTTCTTCGTTTCTTCGTCGACGGAGGAATTATTGATATGTTCTCCGATAGCCGTGATCGTCTAGTGGTTAGGACCCCACGTTGTGGCCGTGGTAACCCAGGTTCGAATCCTGGTCACGGCAATACGAAAAACATTGTCACGGTGGAGACATTTTTTTTTTTACATTAAAGTTTAAAAATTTATAATTGTCCTACTACGTCTTCTATTTTTTTTTCAAATCAATTAATTATATATTTCTTTACTCTAGATATAGTGAGTTCACACGAGACTCGGGAGTAAAAAGTAAAAAATGTTTAAAAAATCCCCTTGTCAGGAATAGGTACTAGGAATTCGTACAGAAAGGTTCACAAAGTTATTTTGCCTGCCGTTGCCAAATTTACATTAAATTAACACACGTTTAGAAGAGGGAAAACCCGAATTGTGCCGTTCGATATCAGTGGATTAACCCAAACACTATTATTATTATAAATTAATAGCATCTTTAGGCCACATTGAGATTAATGCTTTTTAGTAGACTTTTATTTACGATATTTTTACTATTAACCAAACCAACTAGATTAATCTTTATTTCGGTTAGTTTATACAACAAGTTTGATAAATTCCAACGGCTACTAAGTACTATAGAGGTCATGAATACATACGTTAGAATTGTGATACCTCATGATGTTTTTATTTGAACTGTCAATAAAGTGCGAACTTTATAATTGGTTTCAAAAAGACGAATGGTAAATTGCGATTTCCTCAAAACCTGTTAATGTACAGTGACACCACTCTCTTAAGTTCTTCATATGAGTCTTCTGCACAGCACTTCGCCGCATTTGTTACTCTTTTCATCCAAGAATGTCACGTATTCGTCTACATAAGCACCTTTCGAAAGCCTGAAGTCGTATTTAGTCATATTTGTTAGTTGCCCTTGACTTTCTGACTTCTGATCAATCTCATCTTCAGTCTGACGTTTATATCTGTAGAGCAGAATACTTGTATATTTGTAATGCAGCTCCAGCTTGAATTATTTTTCAGCTTCTTCACTCTGAGCTATCACCAAGGTCTCTTCAGCAAAACCGATATTATTAATTATTAATAATTATATTATTATAATCTCTCCTGGGATAAAAATTATAGTGTTGAATTTAATTAAGAAAAAATTAATCTATGTCATACAATATGTAACACCAAAGGTTATAAGATTTTTTTTATTTCTTCTTAAATGAGATGTTAGGGTAAAGAGGACTTTATTTATGCTATATAATTTTTATGGTGGATAGGTGACAGGTATAACGTTCTCTTCCACTCAACAATCCATATTTTCGCCTGTTATTTGAATTGGAATGGACTGGTTTTCGTCTGTTGTCTGGTGTCACCTCTTCAATCGCTTGATCAAACACTAGCTAGATATTTTAACATTGCATCAAATAATCTTCAAGAAAAGAGAGTGAAAAAAAAATTACTCAGACTTTTTTCAGTTAAATCTTCGTCTTTTTGCCAGAAAGATCGGTTGTCCGGACATTCGGCCGTGTGTTTTTAAGGGCATATCCCGCAGTAGCAAAAGCAGTAGTCCGCCATCATCGTTATGCTCCATCTGCCTTGGTATAGTCGTTCCATTTTCTTATTGTCCTGGTGAAATCTTCCTCCCTGATCTTTGCTAACTGCTTTTTTTTCGACATTGGTCATTGTGTTTTTAAAATATTCGTTTTTGTATAATTTTCTTATATGCGGTCCAACCAGAAATAACTTCTTTTATCTTGGCATCCGATATGGCTGCTTCATCAAGTCAGGAGGAGGCAGTAAAACTTTTTTGGGGTCAACTAAGCTATCCCTTAATACCTTTTGCCTTTGCTTGACTACCACACTACCACTACTACCACAGATATAGCAATAGATTGTATGTATTCTTTCCATATATTTTAATATATTTCATTTTTTTAAATTTATTATTTTTTTATTTTATTTCTTATTGTATTATTTTATATTATATATATATATATATATATATATATATATATATATATATATATATATATATATATATATATATATATATATATATATATATATATATATATATATATATATATATATATATATATATATATATATATATATATATATATATATATATATTATTTTATATAATTTTTTTAATATTTTTGAATATTTATTTCGGTTAAATCATCACTGCGATGTATATATACCATAAGAACACAAAAGCTTAGCTAACTTTTTGCCAGTTTCTGAATGGTTCGACACCAACGGAACAAACAGTATAAGGAGCCCAGGACTTGTCTTGGACGCCAATTTTTACACCAGAATAAGCGCGGTATGCTTAACTACTTCATAACTACCACAAATTTAACAAAAGTCATTTGGATTGTCTTTCCAAGTTCTAAAATACTATAAATACGCAACAACAAAGACAACAGCGGCGAACACAGAAGCCCGACAACCAATGCAAACAAACTGCGCAAAGCAGATTACAACACTGTATTGATGCTTTTGCCAACTCTGTTGCTCTGCAGAGAAATCTAATATTATCCAGTGTTGCCAAATTACATTTTTAAGATATAGAGCGCTATAAAAAAATGACGTGATAGAGCAAAAATATGGCGTTTTTTAGAAAAGGGCCCCCAACAACATCACTGTAGACCTATGGTTATTAGTCCCTCACGATAATGAACGGAACTGGGAAGAATTTCCCATTTTATTGCCCTACACTTCTACATTAGCTATAGTTACGATAAGTTCAAAATTTAAGTGCCGATAATTATTACCGCCCGCGATATTTCCCCACGGAACTTTATATTTATTTGCGTTTTCTCCCATAAAAAAATATTATCCGATATCTCTTCGGGCGATACGTAGGGTCAAACCAATTTCTCTCAGGTTTAATAAAAAAAAAAAAGAGGAAAAACACCGCTCGGCACCTTTACATAGGCAAACCTGAAACAATTTCGGGGACGCAAAAAAAAGGACTCTTGTGTACCCCTCGGCCTGCGACATATTGAAACTCGGTTCCGCCCGAGACTGCTTCGTTATATTGTTTACTCTCGGAACAGAGCCGTATTAGATGCAGGCCGATGGGACCGACAAAGTCCTCAGATTTATTTATCAAAGGGCCGCCTTTACTCGGGGGCTAAGACGGATCTGCACTAAAGTCAACACAAAGCGGTAAAAGAACAATTTCGCGGGAATCACGAGACCCGGAGGCGAATCCGAGGCACGGAATTACAAAGTGGTAAAGCTAAGAAAGCGATTTCATTGTATTTATTTTAGTTTTCGGTTGCCATTCTTATACCCTCGTCTACCAGGACACTCGTGTATGTGTCCCCTAACCCCCTTTGCGTTTCGTAGATGGGTTCACATTTGGTGGAGATCATTTGGTAGTAACCACTGAACAGGATGAGTCATCGATAGTTCATTATCTCAGTTGTTATTATTATTATCATATTATTATTATTATTACTATTATTATTATTATCATTATTATAATCATAATCATCATCATTTACCGTTATTTTGAAGATGGCGTAATTTGAATTAGATGCCGGTTTTGTGAATATTGACTACTGACTTGTTCAACTTAATATATATTCCTCGCATTATTACGATAACACACTAAAGCCACCTACACCTCAGTTCAGACTTAGATGAAATCTGAAGTTTTAACAGCACCCATAAAACTGGGTGTTAATAGTTTATCTTCGTCGTGCAGTACAATTTGTCAAAAAATGCTGAAAAAGAAAACTAAAGTTCTCAGTGTATTACCATACGTAATACTTGAACAAAGCGCTTAAAGGATTGATCTAAAATCTTCCGCTTTTCGGATTTGTTTGCTTTAGATCGAAGCTAGCGGGTATGTACTGACGCAAAAACAATACGAAAATCCTTTAATATAAATACGTGGTGGGGAACGACGAAAAATACGATAACCATCGCGAAGAAAATTCGCTCAAAGAGACCGGCCAATACCGTCTCTCTCGCTCGCTCTCTTCTCAAAGGAAAAATGCGGTTAGATCTCGAGAAATCTTATTCCGCCGCAATCTTAAGATTCACTCAAATCAACTAGACGTTCGATTCGTTATTCTGTTTTATTATGTTATTGGCAACAACGGATTTTTCTGGACGAGTTCGGGGCGAGAGGGTGAGCGAGACAGAGGAAAACTCGTCGAACTCTTTCACGGAACACAAAACCATATTTCTTATGCAATCCGAACGCCCTGGAAAATGAATAAATTTGTATTTGTAATGCAATCATAAACAATCCCCGACAGTATAACGGGCTCAAAGCCCCTATTTCTGTCGGTTAACGGTAACGCGGTATTTTGTAATTTTATATAATCTATCTGATCGGTTTGATTTGACTTTAAAATTGTCGTTGAAAGCGTCTATTAAGGAAAATTCGTCTGATGAGAGCGTGCTTAAGAAAATTTCATGTTTAGACATCAACATTAACAACAAAGATATGTGTGTTCACGAACTTATGTTTCCTGGAAAATTGTAAACATTTTTTATGAAATTTTTTGTAATTCTTTTGTTGCTGTATCGTATGTATCAAAAATTTCATCTATGTCAATTATACTGTGGTAGTTCGCCCTGAAAATTCAAATATAAATTCTTTCGCAAAAGTCGATAAAAACGAATTTTTCGAGGTCCTAGGGGACCCCCATTGGTACACAAATGATCAGGGTCGAAAAAAAAATTTTTTTTTTGGCAATGTCTGTCCGTTCCCCGTTTCGTAACTTTTTTTTTTAATTTTCGCTCTGTAGACGCGGCATTAATGGCTTATAACATTCTTTTTCTTTTTAATTTTCGACTGTTTTTTGCACATTGCTATAAAACACGGTAAGTACTCGAAATTTGGAGACTTCAAATTTGGCAAACAAATAGAGTTCATTACTTTAACGAACCCTATTAAAATGGGGGGGGTTGGGGGGTCGGCAAGTATTTTAAAAAAATTAAAAACCGCTTTTGTAAGGGTCCAAGAAAATATCGTTTTCAAAATTTCTTATTCTTGACAATTTTCAAGAATGTACAGGGTGCGCCGCATATTCAAAAAAGTGAAAAATGGATTCCCCTATTAATGAAAATTGAGATTGAGAAAATTGAAATTAGAGACTATATTGTAGATGTCAATTCCTTTTCAATGACAATATAGCCGCTATAAATAGGTAAAACTCTTTTATTTAAGATTTTAATCTATTGTACAGGATGCTAGCGATAGTCGTCACAATAATAAAAAACGTAATAGGTGCCCTAAATTTGCAGCTACCAACTGCAGACCCGCATTTAAATTATTAAAGTTGGGCACAATTAAGTATCCCAAAGTATTTTTTAAAAATTTTAGAATTTCTTTTTTTTTTTGGTTTTTTTGGTTTCCACAAAAAAATATTTTCTCCAAAACTTTTAACCCTATCGGCAAAATTTTTTATCCGACGGACCCGGAAGATCCATTGCTATGACTTTATTTCAAGCGTTTTTTCGATTATATACAGGGTTTTTGAATTATGCACAAAAATCTGAAAGACCCTGAACATTGTCCTTTTCCAGAGTAAGTCATAATTCATAAAAAATATATCAAATTGGTTTAAACAGTATTTATATCACATACACTGCTGGAGATATTTGAAAAAATCCATATGAATATCGCTATTTCTCGCACTCCAGCTATGACGTCATTTAGTATTACGGCATACTTCATGCTTTCAAAAAACAAGTACTTTTTATGAAAGGAATTAAAAACAGAAGTTATTTAAGCGTTGAAGTTTATTTAATTTCTTGACAAAATGCTAATCGATTTGAAAACCCTTTCAAAACATTGCTCAAAATATTTTTCCCTTATTTCGTGTCTAATTCAAAATTGTAAATCACATGAATTTTGTGGTTTTTGCTTGTTCACTTTTGATTTTAAATATATTGCAAACAGTGAAATATTGAATCGAATAATTGTTCCTACCCACATTTTCCATTAATAAGAACTGTCACTAAATTACAAATTGTTTTATTACAAAGTAACATAAGTAATTAACTGCGTAGCACAGATTGTCGTTAATTTTCTATATCGTTCTTTGCTTGATGATGTTTCCAAATGACACCAAGTTTAAAAAATCTATTTGGGTGTTTCAAAATTCGTATCTTTAATTAATAAGGTAAGATATTAAAAATAAATTTAAATAATAGATATAACCATTATTTCTGTAACGGTTTAAGATATGCTGGAAGATATGCTGCTGCTGCTAACAAAATTTTAATACATTGTGCAGGAGAATGGTACTTATTTTTCTCCGAAAAAATTATTTATGGGGATATTTCAAATTTTTTGGTTGGTTTGGTTAGTTGGCGTTGTTTGGTGTTTCTAGCAAATAATGCAAGTGACAACAACTATGCCGTAAAAATATTGTAAATTGTTTTGAATTTAAGCTATTGCCTATATGGCCCCATGAAAACTATGTTTTTCCGCTTTTACAGAGTCATATTTTCTGAAGGAGGCATTTTGGGAGACACATTCCTTAACTAAGCTAACTTTATTTTCTATTTATCCTAGTATACTTGACATTTGCTCATAGAGGGCCACTTATGAACCGAATATAACGAACTTGCAAAAATTTTTGATTATTTTTTTACCAGGTTGACTGAAAAAAATAAGAAAACAACACAATATTACTCTATTCCTATACCCGCATATTTTTTATTTTCAGGTCCACCTGTGTGAGGCCGAGGGACTGCCGGACTTCAACGGCGGCTCGTCATTCCATAAAAAGCAGCTAGTAATAGTCAAGAGTTTGTGGCGGGGCTGTGGGGACGGCAAAAGGTAAAATATTTCTTATGTGCCCTCATTTACGGCGTGTTTCGCATTGACGGGAATCAATTCACTGCATCTTTTGAAAAACAAAAGACGTGTCATTTCCCTGACATTCTATGAATAAAAAATATGCCCAAAAATTGTAACAATAATAATAAAAATGACGGTCTTTATTTGAGTTATAAACATAACAAGTTAATATTTTGGCAATGTACTAAAGATAAGTATGACTATTAAAATCATATAGCTGCTAGACACATAGAGGCACTGCCTATGCTGACATTACAGGAACTCATGAGAGTGGACCCCCATTTACCACTGTCATAAATAAATTCATTTTGTTTTAACTAATGGCGAACTGTGAAATTTTCTTCCAGAAATGTGCCTCCTATAGACAGAAATTACAAGCGATATTTCTGATGCTTCTAATAGTAAGAATTAAACTTGTAGCTTAATTGCTTTCTTATATTTCCTGGAATTCTTGTACAGGAAACATCCTAAAAATGTAGGGAATTCTGTTTAGTAAATTCACATGTACATAGTTGTGTTAGATTGCTAAATGTCAAATGTCAAATATCATCACTCTTTGTCTTTTGGTCCTTATATTTGCCACATTTGCTGTAACTTCGTGAAAGAACAAAGTATTGACAGCACAAATTATACAAGTTTGTGAGTACGGTACGGAGATAATGACAGTAAAAATGGTAATTATTCGGATTTCAGAGATTGATGTTGCGTTCTTATAAAAATTAATCAAATCAACTCGGCGGCGCATCAATTTTTAGCGCAGTAGCGCCACTATATGGTTAAAATACATGAATTTCTATTTTGCAAGTCCTCACAAACAAACAAAAATATAATACAACGTTCTTGAGAGAATCAAACATAAGGTAATAATAATAATATTTCAATTAGAAATTTTTTAATTCGTTTTATCAAGTAGTTTGTAAAAAAGTTTAGTTTTAAACCCTTTGAGGTCGCTTAAGTTTTTCATTTTATTTGGTAAATTATTTACACATGAAACAATGTTATATCAAAATGAGCGTTTAAACAGCGTAATTAAAGAGGTATGGAGGAGATTTTCTACTTAGTATTTTGGCATACATTAATTTCAAATACAATAAACATTATGATAGAAACTTTACAATTTAACTTAACTTAAACAAAATAATATTTTTTAAGAATTTTCTTTTAAATATCTTTTCAAATGTTGAGGATTTCGACGGCTTTTGAGGATTTTGCACATGCACCTTTGAATTTCGGTTAGTTTAGCAGTTATCGTTACTTCGTATCGTTCCCTTTAGTATCCTTATCTTTTGTACGAGGAGTGGCAATTAGAAATCGATCAGACATTGGAAATAAATTCTGCTAGAAGATCGGACCTGCCTAGTAACGGGGTTATTACGCACAGCTTTCGATAGGGCAAAACCGATTTTGCAAATTCAAAAAAAGGCCATTCCGAAGGAGTAACTTGATTTCCGTATAAAAGAGGACGTTCTTGGACGTGCGAATTTCGAACTACGTTGTTGATTTTGTTTAGACACGAATTTCTGAGGGAAACCAGCTGGTTGGCGGGCCTCAGGGATCCCAACTTGGCGAGGGTGGTGGGACTGTGCAGTCAAGACGAGCCGATGTGCGCTCTATTGGAGCACTCGGAGCCCGGCGAGCTGCCCAAGTTTCTATCGAAACTGGTCGTGGACGAGAATGGCAGTCCCGTAGGACCCTCCGTCAGGTACGTTCCCGATACATTAAGAACGCTCTTTCAAGCTGTTTTTGTATAAAATACCAAGCATTTGAAGAGCGTTCGTTGCAATCGAATAAATTTAGAGAGATCCTATCGATTAAAATCCATAGCTCAGCCGAAATCCAGATATTCAGTTTTAAAATGCCTTTTATCGAACAGGTCCGTACTGGTTGGCAATAAAATCCTCCTTTAAAAAATGTTATTATAATTTTTTTTTCAATTTTTTCATTCGTCAACGTTACAAAAAGTAAATATACATACAAAATGAGTTTCAGAGAGTTGTAAGAGAAAGGAGGGAAGTGCCGAAGGTGATTTTTATGGTAGTAAATACGCGCATTCATTGTGACACTACAACAGTTCAGTGAAAACTTGTCGTTTTAATTGTTTACCTTTTATATCAAATATTTTGGTAAGTTTTGCATAAAGTTCATGTTTTCCACATTGGATTTAAGTATTTGATGTGTAGTTTGAGTTTTTTTTCTTAATAGAGTCAATAAATATAAAATAGAAATTTGAAAGTTGATTTAAAATTAATTTTATGTGATTTTATGTTACAAAATGCCACGGAAATTCCACAGATTGTTTTTGCTACATTTTTTGGCAATACATACTATAAACATAGCGACATGTCATGACCGATCTGGTTAAAACAGCTTAGAATCTATATTTTCGATTTTCTATCGATGAGCGACATAAAAGTTGGTTGCCAAAAGTATGCTGCAATAGCTGCTCAAGAACGTTGAGAGATTGGCTTGAAGAAAGTCACAAATCCATGCCGTTTTCAATGCCAATGATTTGGAGTGAGCCACAAAATCATGAGAATGATTGTTATTTCTGCATGACATCTACACGAGGATTCTCGAAAAAAAATAGAGATACGATTGTTTATCCGAACGTCCTATCTGCAAAGAGACCAATTCCTCGTGATAAAGACACTCCACCTCCAGTTCCACCAGTTAATGAAGAGGCTGAAAATAAAAATATTTCAGGTCTACAATCTCAATCGAGTTTTCTTTCTGGTAGTACATCTTCATCTTCATACACTTTATCTGGATGTTCATGTCCATCTACAGAACCTCATTTACTTGAACAAGGCGACTTAAATGATCTTTTTAGTAACTCGGATCAAGGTTAAAACAGTGGAATCTATTGGCTAAAAGTACCAGAGTTTCATATTTTCGTACGAAGCAAGAAAGTTTTACAAGTTACTTCTCCAAAGAAGATGATTTGGTATATTGTAATGATGCTGCAGGGCTTCTTCAAGAACTAAGTTTTCCAGAAGATTCTAGTGACTGGAGACTTTTTATTGATGCTTCAAAAATAAGCTTGAAAGCCATAATGGTAATAAATACCCATCTGTCCCATTGCACATACTACAAGCATGAAAGAAAATTATGCAAACCATGAGGTATTACGTGAGAAAATTAAATATTCTCAATACCCATGGAATATTTGTGCTGATTACTTATTTAATTCAAAAATTTTGACCTACCTCAAAACTTCTGACTTATTTCATAAAATTCCGACTTAAGTCATAATCTCTGATCTATTTTCCAGAAATTGTTACTTGTTGTTTAGATATTCTGACCTAACTCAAAAATTTTTACCTACTTCGAAACTTCTGACGTATTTCATAAAAGTTCGGACTTAAGTCATAATCTCTGATCTATTTTCTAGAAATTCTTACTTGTTGTTTATATATTCTGACTTCACTCAAAAATTTTGGCTTCCCTCAAAACTTCAGTCTTATTTCATAGAAATTCTGACTTCCGACAAAAATGTTGAGTTGCTTTTCAGAAATTTTGACTTATTTTCCAAAAATTCTAACTTATTTCTCAAAAATTCTGACTTAACTCAAACATGCTGAGTTATCTCTGACCTTATGGGTGATTGTCCAGAAATTCTGAGTTAGTTCAGAAATTTTCAGTTAATTCCCAGAAATTCTGATCCATTTTCCAAAAATTCTAATTAAACTCATATATTCTTAACTATAATTTAAAAATTTTGACCTACCTCAAAATTTCTGACATATTTCATAAAAGTTCTGACTTAAGTCCTAATCTCTGAGCTACTTTCCAGAAATTCTTACTTGTTGTTTAGATATTCTGACTTAAGTCAAAAATTTTGACTTCCATCAAAACTTCAGACTTATTTCATAGAAATTCTGACTTATGGCAAAAATTTTGAGTTGTTTTTCAGAAATTTTGACTAATTTTCCAAAAATTCTTACATATTTCTCAAAAATTCTGACTTATCTCAAACATGCTGAGTTAACTCTGGCCTTATGAGTGATTGTCCAGAACATTCTGAGTTAGTTCGGAAATTCTAAGTTATTTCCCAGAAATTCTGATCTATTTTTTAGAAATTATAATTGAACTCAGAAATTCTTAATTATTTGCCAGAAATTCTCTCTCTCTCTATCTCTCTCTCTCTTTCCCTCGTTCCTTGAAATTACTAAGGTAAAGCAAACATCGGGAACGGTTTCCTCTAGAAATACAATCCGTTTAACACCGTCAAAACGACGCCCCCCTTCGCGAAATTACGACCTATCGGTCCGGAAATTACCGAACGTGATCCCACCGAACCCTTTTATACATTCGTCGTATCAAAATATAATTCGAATTTCTCATCTGCCGTTATTATGTTTCCGAATAATTTATAAGGCTTTGGTAAGCGCCGCGGCGCGTTTCTGTGCGGTTTCGTTTCCCGGCTAAAGAGGACGCCGAACGGGGAAACATAAATTCTCATTGGCTGGAGGCGGATTATGTGTCTTTATTATTAACATGGCGCAGGGGGCGGGGAGGCCACGGCGGACGAATAATTTGAAATTAGTCCTATAGGTTTTATAAGAAAAACGCGGGCAATACGGCGGGGGTTTTTGTTTTTAATTTGATATTTATTCGCGATAAGCAACTCCGGACCACTCGGATTTGTCTCCGGAAACTACACGCGGTGTTTCCCAAGTCCAGGTAATTTCATAAAAAAACCTTCAAAAAAGGCTCTAAAAATTCCAATTTATATTTTGAACGGTATACACATCATCGAGCTGTCATCACATTTTGACAAAATAAAGTTTGTTTTTACGTCCAATATCGATTCGAAAGGCAGGTTTTCCTTGTGGATATCGAATGCTTCAGATGAGTTGTTTCGTCAAGTGTTTTAGCTAAAGGAACATTTTATTCGAACGATAAGATATAAAGCAGTAGAAACAACAAACTATGGCAAATAAGTGTCCGTACACTTTAGTAAATCACTATTCAGAACTGCAGGTAGGATATTTTATCAAGTCAGCTTGTATCAAATTTCGCTTAAACAAAAAAATCCTTCAGAGATATTAGTAAAATAATTAAAAAATTACAATTACAGTATGTGATAAATCAATACAAATCCACCGGATCTTATAAAGTGCGGCCACGCTCTCTGGTCGTCCCAGGAAGTTCACTGCACGGGAAGGGTCGTTGTGAAAAAAATTAGAATTAATTCTAAAACAAGCGCTCCAAAACTTGTAGAGGAAATCAGGGAAGAGTTAGAATGATTAGAAACTGCTTGCATCGAGCAGATTATCGCGGCCGCGTTGCGAGAAGGAAACCGTTAATTTCGGAAAAAAATCGAAAAAAAAAGTTTGAAATTTTCCAAATAACACGTTTTGGGAAAACGTTATCTATAGTGACGAAACAAAAATTAATCTGTTTGGGTCAGATGTTCGGGATAAAGTTTGAAGCATGTGGAGGTAATGTTTCATTGTGGGGGTTCATGTCAGCTAAAGGGGCAAACAATTTAGCTTTTATTGACGGAATCACATGACCAATTGAACATCCTAAAGAATAACTTAACCAAAGTGTTGAAAAACTTAACCTTGAGAGGGCTATTTATTCTCCGGATGTTAAACCTGTGAGAAGCATTAAAGCGACGAGTGAAGGAACATAAAGTTACGAGTACAGACCTCAAAAATAGGATAAGAGAAGAGAAGACTTATTTGAAATAGTTTCTTGCTTCTAAAACTGACTTATTTTCTTATCGTTTAAATAAAATGTTTCCAATGATTTTTATTTTATTTTGTATTTAAATGTAAGTGAAAGAGGAAACTGAAAGAAAACTGAAAAAATACTATATATACGAAAACTTTTTTGACCGACTGAGCTTTTAATTTAAATTTTTGTTTTTACTCTTTTCTTGTTTGTATTAAAAGTTCACTTAATTATTAGTGTCTTTAGTAAGTTGTGGTCGAAAAATGTATATTTTTCAAAAAAATAAATAAATAAATATGAACATAGCCCCAGAAATGTTTCCTATATTTTTTGGATTAATAAATAAAATATAATAAAAGCGATATATGGCTTTAAGGATATTAAAACCGCACCGAGCTTGCCAGAGATGTACGCCCACAAGTTAAAAAGTTTCTACTGTAGCAAAAACTGACTTTTTAATATCGGTCTTCGGAAAACTCAGATAAAAGAAAAAACATATCACATCATAATACAATGATCATATTGAAAATTTAAGAATAGTAGAAAAGATGATAACAGGAAAGAAAAAAAATTGGAGAAGAATAAGAAAACTAATAAAACGCAAACAATAATCAAAGGAGACAAAATAAAAGCAAGTGAAATAATAATAAGATTAAGAAAAATAAATTAAAAAGAACATCATAATTAGGTGAATGCGTATTACAAGTAATGATTATGATTATATTGTTTTTCTAATTTGTTGCGAATGGTTTCTAAATTATTCAGGAGTTAAGATGTCTAAAATATGATTCGTTTCTTTTTGATTGTTAATTTTTGAGAAGTATTGATGATTTTTATTAGAATAAGTGCGATTTTGTAGAGAGATTTGTTGTCGTGCCTATGTGCTGAAGCAATGCCTCTTACATAACATTATATTTTTATAAAAATGTATGTACTGGTCTTATTTTTCCCTTATTTTAAATTGAAAATGTTGCAAAAAAGTACGGGTTATCAAAAACTTTTCTTCCCACTTTCATTTGG